AACCAAAATGGGATAGTTTAATTAATGGATATATTTCAGTTTGCCCCCTCAAGTTTGTGTTTAATTGTAACTCCACACAAAATCTTAAAACTGTACAACTTCGTACAAAAAAATTAAGATTTCAGTGTAATACCATAGATTCATCAACTTTTTGGTCAGTATCTTTGTTATATGTTACGTGGCATCACGAGACCCACTCTATCACCTATATGGACTACCCAAATTAAAAAATCAAAAGAAAATTTTGCTTTTGGAAATTCATTCAAATCCCCTTTTTATACATATATATAAAGTACGATATTCATTGACATTACTACAAAATGAATGTATGATTGTAGAGTTTTTATTTTGGAATGAATATATATAATTAGTCACACAGCATATGAAGTTAACATTTTTTTTTTTTTAACAATTCATGAAGTTAGGAACTTATTCTCAATAATGCCACTTGCTCCAGAAATACCCAATACACACAGACTGTATATTTCTAATCAAATTGCTATATATTCTTTCTCCTCGGCATTCTAGGAGGCCTGTTGGGGGTGAAGCATGCGACCGGAGATTTGCGGTCTCCATTTGTCACAGACCACAAAACTGTTGTGATGTTTATTGTTGATTTATTCGCTTATGCGGGGGCATTGGCTACTGCCAAGATTCTCCAAACTTCCAACCATACAAATATATATGAACGGATGAACAACATCAACCTCTTGTGTGGAACTCTTGCAGCGATTCTCCTGGCGCTCCTCCTCGATCCAGATTTCGGGAGGTACTCTTGCATGTTGGGTGGTATCTATTGCGATAATTGTGACCAAGTCCTACCAAACCCCAAGAAGACCCTGTTGGTTATGTCCGTGACAAAATGAAGGAGCTGATGTTGAGATTGAAGGGCACCGAAGAACCCGAGAACCAGGAAGGGATGCTTTAATACTCATGTCTACCCCTTAAACTTTAATTAATGAACTACTTGTTATTGCCTTTGTATTACTCGGTCAGCTATTATGCTACGGTTTCTATTAAAGACAGAGTGATCTGTTTTGAGTTAGAAACAGAGTATCGCTCAAATAATGTTGTTAATTTGGAGATCCAAGTTATGGATCAGATAATTAAGCGGCAATACATGGTGATTGTATTACGAAAATGCATGTATTAATAAGATTTCATCTCATCAATTTATATGTCTTTGTAGTACAAGGCAGTGCTTTTTGACAGTGGATGCAGACCTTAATGTTAACCCTCTCCATTCAGAAACACAAGTTCAAAATAATTGTTTCGTTTCCTTCTTATAAAATTGGACCATGTAAAAGGAAAAAAAAATACTTCAAAGCTCAATTGAAGTAAAAACCCCTCAACTATCCGGCTTCGTGCCTTGGGGATTTCATGTAGCATGAGTCCACTAATTTGAGGTGGTAAATCCATTGAGCTTTGTGCTTTGAGATGGTTTGAGTCTGCAACATTTGAAGTGATTTACATCCACAAATTTGGTGTCGTCGATGTTATCTCCATAATCCTTTATTTTGGATTGGTTGGACTCAATATGTCTCCATCACGCTATTACGCTCCTGTCATTTATTGCTCGTCCTTGGCTCTAATTCATAAGGTCTACATTTACAAAGCCCATATGAATTTAGATGGGGAGCTGTGGCTTTTCTTTGTTCTCCATGTGGGCCGCATTCCCACTTGGGAGATTTTTGTTTAGCAGCAAGCTTCTTCATTCTTCTATTTGAAGACTTCGAATTTTCCAAGTCCCAAATAGGGCTTCAAGTGGTGGTGTTTGGAGAGGAAAACCATATTTTTAAGTGACCACGTGCATGGATTTGAGAAAAAGGGCATCTTTTCCCTAGCAACTTTAGAAGACAAATTTCTTTCTCTTCTTCTCTACCGTAGCTTTCCTCTGCAGACTTTGCAATCTCCATTTTTTTCTTATCTTTCGAATTCCTGGCACAAAAGGCTTTGGGTGGAACTCTTGTATCCCATGTTAATTTTGTACACAAGAACATTAGATTAACGCCTGCTGGTTTTCTGCTACAAGTGAGGTTGATCTCGAAGCCATAGTCTTGCTGCGTTTGTCATTTAGTCAAGTATAGTTGCTGCATACCTCCGAGCAGCGTCCTTGCATAGCTGTTGTTGGTGGTAAAAGAATTGTGCTCGTTGATTTGAGCGTATACCATTTGATGTTGTTTTATAGGGATTACAAGAAGTATTTGGATGAAGAACAAACTCTTCAAACCAAGGAGAAGTATTTGGATGAAGAACAAACTCTTCAAACCAAATTTACAGATAATACAAAAGATAAATAACCTATGTTATATTCGAAATACTTGCAACAGATAAGGCTTATCTCAGCCTTCCTTTGGACTAATCTGATTGTGATCTTCAGTAAGTGTTGTGGCGGGAACCTTTGAATTCGGACTTGGTTTATCACACCCCCGCAAGCTGAGCGGTCGCCGGCGAACGGGAAGCTTGGATAAAAGATAGTTGAAACGATGAGTAGACAGACCTTTAGTCAAAAAATCAGCAACCTGATCTTGAGTAGCTACATAGCTCACCTGAAGTTCACCACGAGTAGCCTTCTCACGAATATAATGATAGTCAACTTCCACGTGACGGGTCCGTGCATGAAAAACAGGGTTAGAGGCAAGGGAGATAGCAGAAATATTATCACACCACACCTTTGGAGGAGACAGATGAAGATGCAGGTCTTTAAAGAGTTGACGAAACCATGAAAGAGTAGCTGCAGTTATGGCAAGTTGGCGATATTCTGATTCTGTGCTAGAGCGAGACACTCCTTTTTGTTTCTTAGAACTCCAGGACACAAGGTTTGGACCAAGAAATATACAAAACCCGCCAGTGGATTTGCGATCATCGGGGTCTCCTGCATAATCAGAGTCGGCAAAGGCAGTGAGGGTGCGAGGTCCAGGTTTGTACACAAGGCCATGATCGGGAGTGGACTTTAAATAGCGAAGGATGCGTTTAACATCAATCCAGTGTGTGGTGGTTGGTTGATGCATGAACTGGCAAACTTGGTTGACAGAGAAGGCAATATTAGGGCGGGTGAAAGTAAGATATTAGAGTGCACCCACCACACTCCTAAACTCGGTGATGTCTTGTAAGGGTTCGCCATCATATAAGCTGAGGCGTTTGCCACTGACTGCAGGAGTGGAGACTGGTTTACAGTCCACCATGTTGGTACGTTGAAGCAAATCAGAAATATATTTAGACTGTGAGAGATGAAGACCATGACTGGAGCGATGAACCTCCATACCCAAAAAATACGTGAGAGGACCAAGATCTTTCATTGAAAAAACCGAGCCCATGTCCTTGATCAAGGAGTTGATACACTGAATGTTGTTGCCTGTGATAAGTATGTCATCGACATAGATTAATAAGTAAATACGAATTAAACCATGACAATACACAAAGAGAGATGAGTCTGCTTGGGAGGCCACAAAACCAAGATGTTCCAGATGATTAGAAAAACATTGGAACCATGCCCTAGGAGCCTGTTTAAGGCCATACAACGATCTGCGCAATTTACAGACATGTGTGGGATATTGAGGATCAACAAAACCAGTGGGTTGTTTCATGTAAACTTCATCAGATATGGAACCATGTAAAAACGCATTCTGAACATCCAGTTGACGTATAGGCCATGAAAAATGAACAGCCATAGCAATAATAAGCCGAATGGTTGAGTGGGTCACCACGGGACTATAGGTTTCACCATAATCAAGACCTGGTTGTTGATGAAAACCATTTGCCACAAGACGAGCTTTAAACCGATCAATAGACCCATCAGACTTGCGTTTAAGACGAAAGACCCATTTATTTGGTAGTACATTCATGGTAGGAGTATAGGGTACCAAAGACCATGTGCCCGCACGTTGTAGGGCATTGAATTCATCAGCCATAGCTGTCCTCCATTCCTGAAATTTATTAGCTTGACTGTAGCATGTAGGTTCAGACATAGCAGTGATGGTGGAAGTATGGGCATACTTAGGGTTAGGTTTAGAAATGCCATCTTTTGCACGGGTAACCATAGGATGGATAGTGGGGGGTGCTAGAGTGGATGGGGTTGTCGAAAGGGGAGGGAGAAGTGGGGTAGGTGGAAGTGACGTTACTGGAGGTGTGGAAATGGGGGGGGGGGATAGTAGGGTAGGGTGGGAAGAGGGTAAAGGTGAGGGGATAGGAGAGGAAATAGGAGTCAAAGGGTGTGTGATAGAGACGGGTGAGGGAATGGGAGTGTCTGAAAGAGGGTTGGAATGGGTAATGGAAGTATGGGAGAAAGTAGGATTAGGTGGCGAATTTGGGGGGGCTGGAAAAGTGAGTTCAGGGTTCCCAAGAGTAATGGGATGGTTATCATGCAGAGAGGATGGTACGGGAGTAACACTGGGATTTTCATGAAATGGAAAACAATTTTCATCAAAAAGAACATGTTTAGACATGAAGACACGACCGGTGCATGGGTCAAGGCACCTATACCCTAATTGATCTTGAGAATAACCTAAGAAAACACACTTTTTGGAACGAAAATGCAATTTTGTTGACATGTATGGACGTAGGTATGGAAAACAAGCACACCCAAAAACTTTAAAAAAATCATAGGATGGTTCTCGATGAAATAATTTTGTGTATGGAGAAGATAAGTTCAAAACTTTAGTTGGCAGGCGATTTATTAAAAAATTAGCAGTATGTAGAGCTTCAGCCCAATAGGTTTGTGGCATGGACTCATGAGCAAGAAGAGTTAGACCAGTTTCAACCAAATGACGAAGTTTACGTTCTGCCATACCGTTTTGTTCAGGATGGTGAGGGCATGTATATTGATGATGAATGCCATGTTTTTCTAAATAAGATTTGAAATTGTTGTTAATATATTCTCCTCCGCCATCCGTTTGAAAAGTTTGGATTTTTCGTTGAAATTTATTCTCCATTTCAGTTTTAAATTTAATGAATGTGGAGAACACATCAGATTTGAGTTTTAAAGGATATAGCCATGTATATCGCGAAAAATCATCAATGAAAATCACATAATAACGAAAACCAGAAATTGACAAAGTAGGGGACGTCCATACATCTGAATGAATAAGTTGTAAAGGAAAATGGGAAATAGAATTTGATGGTAAAAATGGCAATTTCTTGCTTTTGCCCAAAGGGCATGAATGACAGACATAATTAAAATGGTGCCTAGTAAGAGGCACTTTGCTAGTAGAAACTAAATGTTTTAAAATAAATGACGAAGGATGACCGAGTCTGGAGTGCCAAATACGATCATCAACCTTGACTCCCATGCACAAAAATAGTCCATGTCTTTTATTGAAATTAAAACTTGCATATGGATAAACACCAGTGTTACTCCGGCCTGATAAAAGGGTCCTCCCCGAGCGGATATCCTGAACACGGAAGAAATTAGGATGAAGGACAAAGAAACAGTCATTGTCAGAAGAGAACTGATTGATAGATAATATATTTTGAGAGGCATCAGGACAATATAAAGTATTAGAAAGAGGATAGGAGCTAGTGGGAGAGTGAATAAAAGATGTGCCTATTTGGGAAATGTGCAAACCTTGACCACCATGAACACCACCGACTTGATCTGTGCCTGTGTAGGGCTGTGCATTTGTAAGTTGACCAGGATCATTGGTAATATGGGTGTTGGCCCCAGAGTCCAGAAGCCATGTGGTGGGAGCAGGAGAGACAGACTGGGGTGCACGGGTAGACTGGGCAGCAAAGGCTGTGAGACGAGCACTTGGAACACGACCTTCATAAGACGTATTCATACGGTTGTAACAGTCAATGGCAGAGTGACCATTACGACGACAAATCTGGCAGCGAAGGGGTGGGCAATCAGACGGTGAGGGTCCGGCACCAAGAATACCGTCATTGGGATGTCCTGGATTAGGAGCAGCAGCAGCATGTGGCCGAGCCTGATGTCTACCACGATGAGGGACAGCGCCACGGCCTCCGCCACGCGCAAAACCTGCAGGAGCAGGATACCGACGGCCACGAGTAGCAGCCATAGCAGTCAAAGCAGGAGCAGAAGTGTCGCCAGACAAATTGAAGGTAAGATGACGAGTTTCAGCACTGAGAAGCAGTGCTTCCAAAGCAGCATACGAGATAGGAGTTTATTGGGCTTGGATGGAGGCAACGGTGTTCTCATACAACGGGCCGACATTATTCAGGATCGTGGCAATTAAGTCCGCGTCAGCAATGGGAGAACCCGATAAGGCCAACTGATCAGCCAAGGTGTTGAGTTTATCCAAATAATCGGCAATACGGAGATCACCACGGCGGAGATTGAGAAGTTCCCCGCGAAGTTGAATAACACGATTGTGTGAGGAAGGTGCATAACGGTCCTGTAACGCCTTCCAGGCCTCGGCATCACTAATGCATTTGACGACAACATGCAACAGGAGGAGAGAGGGAACTAGTGAGCCACGAGAGAACCATCTGGTCAGTTTGGATCCAAGGTTCAAAGAGAGGATTGATGGTGTCAGTATGTTGACCGTCATCATCCAGGAGAAAAGCAGGAGGGCACTGAGAAGTGCCATCAACATAAGGCATCAAACTGCGACTCCGAAGGAGTGGAACAAACTGGGCACGCCACAAGGGATAGTTATGGCGATCAAGCTTTAAAGGAAGAAAAGCAGAAACATTGGTGAGGGCAGCGGAAGAAGACATTGTATAGGGAAGGGAATATGTCGTAACACTTGGAAAAGGATGATACCATAAAAGAATTGTGCTTGTTGATTTGAGCGTATACCATTTGATGTTGTTTTATAGGGATTACAAGAAGTATTTGGATGAAGAACAAACTCTTCAAACCAAGGAGAAGTATTTGGATGAAGAACAAACTCTTCAAACCAAATTTACAGATAATACAAAAGATAAATAACCTATGTTATATTCGAAATACTTGCAACAGATAAGGCTTATCTCAGCCTTCCTTTGGACTAATCTGATTGTGATCTTCAGTAAGTGTTGTGGCGGGAACCTTTGAATTCGGACTTGGTTTATCAGGTGGCAGAGGCGATGGTCCCTTTGCTGTTGTTGGCAGAGAAGAAGGTGCGCAGTCGGCAGATCGGCGCTGCTCGGCTTCATTTTTTTCTGGGATTTTTGCCTTGGTGGCGGTGCCGCAATGCTGGAGAACGGCGGGTGTCGCAGCGGTTTGTTGCTGTCAGCGGAGGGAAGGCTGCAGACCCTCCTTATTTCTTTGTTTTTCCTTTTAAGGAAAAAGAGAAATAAGGCATTTGATGTTGCTGCTATGATGAATCGGTGGACTTTAAAAAGTCCTACCCTCACCATTTTTTGGGCTTCTTTTTTGTCAGTGGAATCGGCGGTGGATCGATGAACTTTTTAAGAAGCCCCACCTTTATTTTCTGCTTCGGTGGGCGCTGCTTGGCCAAAGGAAGAAGAGGATGAGGGAGAGTGAGCACTGCTCTGCTGCGTTCCTCTTTTGGTCTTCCGTTTGGTATCGGTGGTCTGATCCTGTTGCCACTGTTGAGAGACTTGGATTTGATCTCTCTTTTTTTTGTAGTCGCAGATCTCCAGAGGCCTACAGCTTTATACTCTGGTTCGGAACCACCGGAGAAGAATAAAATGGTAGTCAGTGACTCGGCGCTGCTCGGCCGAGAGAGAGAGGAGGTGTCACGGGGAACTTGAAATGAGGGTGGTGACTGGGTTTTTTCAAAGCGACGCCCCCTATTAAAAAGGGTGGGTTGCTTTACCCGTTGTCGGCAAGATTGTAGAGGAAGGAGAAGAGATTTTTTTTTCTTCTCTTATCTTTTGGCTGCCATGGGGAATTTTTCCCATCCATCTTTCTGGCTTCGGTGAAAGAGGAAAAGCCAAGTTCCTCCTTTATTCATCCTGCAAAAAGCTGCACCTAATACACAAAACCAAGAACAAATTAAAGACAAAGATTTGATACCTTTGGGTACTTCGATGTTCTTTGTCGTGTGCACCCCTTGTGCCATTCGTTTTCTTGCTTTGTTTGTTCTTGCTTTTTTTGTCAGACTCTATCCTTTCTTTTTCCTTTTTTCCACTGCATTTCCAGTCCGTCTCTTTCTCCCCCCATTTTTCTTGACAGAGACAAGTCTTCATAGACTTTCTCTCGACAGTTTGGATGAAATAAAGAGGGGGTCGGTGGTGGAATTGGAATCACCTCCACTATTTGATTGCAAGTGGTCTTTACAAGGTCATAAAAAAAATGTTGAATTCTTGCATAAAAAAGTAAATTATAACATTTAATATAATAAAATATATCGTTCGACAGAAAAAAAAACTCTCATTTCAGTTTTGTTTTTAACGTAGAGCAACTGCTTCTCTTTTTTTCGTTTAATTCATTTTTTTTTTCAAAATTAATGTTGCAGATTCCTTTTTTTTTTTTTGAATAAACAGATTCCTTTTGTTTTAATCTTCACCGTTAATCTTTATTGCCTCTATCATCTCCACTCTCCATGGACCATTTTTTTTTATTCATTTCGGTATACATTTTTTATCCTCAACAATATGTATATATATGTATTAGGTTTTAGTATATTTCTCCACACTTTAAAACCTATTAATTTATAAGTCCAAGCTCCCCCTAATTCGGATTTGGCTGAGTCAATCATGAACAAGATTAGCCTCCTTGTTGAACTCTTGTCTTGATTTTAGAACTGGTCCTTGTTTCGGGTTTAGGGCCTTAGGGGGCTAGTCACCCTCTTATTTTGGGTCATTTGCTTTGCGAATGTTGTATCGGAGTACACTTGCTAATATCTTAAAACGTTGTATAAAAGTATAATTACATCAGTTGTTCATACATTTGACAAATTAAAAAACTATCCGAACATAATCATCGTACACTTCACAACAAAACCCGAAGAACAAACTGATGAGCCTCCTCAAGTGAGTTCTACTACGGTTTAACAAGGATGCGGTTGCAGCACTTTTTAATCATCAAGAATCCACAATTATTTACCTTTAATTTTGCTATTAAAAGTAAAGAATAAATTAATACTTAACTGCCCTTTGCTATCCGCTCTTCCATATTCTATTCTCGGGGTATCATTGTCAAAACGGCCATGAAAAGGTCCTCAAGGAGATGTACTTCCCTGTCTTGCTTCTTTGTCAAAGAATGAGGTGACTGGTGATCAGTTAATCACCAAAAATGCATAATGTGAGTTCGAACTTTATCGGTGACTAATCTAACATCTAATTTTAAAAAATTTATCGTTTGACAAAAAAAAATTATATAAAGAATAAAAAATAAGTTAATATTTAAAATAATTTTAGTATTGAAACTATGATTAGCACTCAAAAAATTTAATCGTGCACTCCTCGTAAAAGTATTTTTCTTTCAAAATAGGTAAAGTTTGGAGTGCACAATTAAATTTTCGAAGTATCAATAAAGACAACTATTGTGCAAAGATGTAAAACCGAGGATGTGTAAAAGGGTCTTTTACGTATCAGGTGACATCTTTATTGAGGGACAACTTGTAAGATCAAAATAAATATAGTCGGTGGAATAGATTGATTACAACACCAAAAGTAACCACTAACCTGAAGAAGACATCTCTTGGAAACTAGGGGGACAACTTGTAAGATCAAAATAAATATAGTCGGTGGAATAGATTGATTACAACACCAAAAGTAACCACTAACCTGAAGAAGACATCTCTTGGAAACTAGGGATCTTCTGCAACTTTCCTCAACTGGATGTAATTACTCAGTGAATGGGATCTGAGTATTCGTTTGTATGCGTGATTGAGAGAGCACAGGGATCCCGTGTTTTATACTGCATACGACGATGATTGATAAGGACTCAAGCTTAATCAATCTAACCTTATCACGGAGAAAGCCTAGCATTCACATCCATTATAAGTGTTCCAAACTATCATGACTGTTTTAGCTGAAACCCCTATTATATAAATTCCTTATCAACTTACAACCTTAGTTAATTCCAACCTCTTATATCCTCAAGTCTCCAAACTAAAGATGATCAAGTGATCAGCTCTCTTTAGAACTTACACAACTTTAAATAAAAATAATATTAGAGCAAATTAAGATAAACCCATATAAAGATACACACAATCCATATTATGATTCATAAAGCATTTCAGTTCATATCATATAGAATTGTCCCCATGAATTCTGATAGTTTTGACTTTTTTTTAATAATCGATTGTCATTCATCCATATTTACTAGGAAAGTTGTAACGTTATAGTTTGAGCATCACCTAATTCGTTGGCAAATTCCACATAGAAATCCAAAGATAGTTTGTCCAAAAGAGCATCTCTTTGTGGATTTTGCGTAGGCAAAGATGGCCTTGAAAAAGACGGGGGATGCAAGGAAAAGACAGCCATGCAAGGAACGGATTGCGAGGAAGAGATTGGCTTAAGCTTTCAAACTCATTTTGTTGTTTATTATTAGGGTAAATTACACAAAACTACTTCAATTATTGGGCCAGTTACAGTTTCATACCTCATCTTTAAAAAATGTCAATGTCAGACCTCATCTATGAATTTATTAAAATTTCATACATTCCGTTAGTTGTCTGATGCAATGTTGACGTGGCTTAAGGCGGGACCCACTTTCTATTTAAAAATTAATTAAATATTAAAAGATTTAAATATAAAAAAAAAACCAAAAAACCAAAAAAAAACCACCCACACCCAGATCCCCTCCCCCCTCGGGAAAACTTCCCATCACCCTCCTACCTTCTCTCCACCACATCTCACCCAACCCTCTCTCCTCCGATCCTACACCCAAATCTTCAAGTCAGTCTGCACCTATGGATTTCTTCAAGTCGGTTTGCACCCATGGATTTCTTCAAGTCGGTCTTCTCCGACGACCCCCTTCCTTTCGACGATTTGCACCCGGACGCCCAAAATGACGGCGTTATGGCACCAGGGCGTGGAGCTTCAAAGGTCTGATTTGCGACGAAGTCCGAGTCTGTCAACCAGAACTACCGTCGCGATCTCGAGGAGTTAGGGTCCGGGTTGAAAAAGGAGACGGCAGTGATCCGAGAGGTGGCTTCGCGCGCCATCAAGGATTTTCCTGGTTCGCTCAAGGTCGGCGCGTCGGTGGCTCAAGATAAGTAGCAGTGGGGTGGTGAAGATGGAGGAAGTGAGGCGTTGGTGGGGTGGTGAAGGAAGTTTTGGTGGGTGGGTGGAGGGGGGACACGAGTCGATGGGAAGTTTCCGGGGGGTGGGGGTGAGGGGATCTGGGTGTGGGTGGTTTTTTTTTATTTTTTATTTTTTATTTTATTTTTTAATATGTAGTTAATATTTAATTAATTTTCAAATAGAAAGTGGGTCCCGCCTCAAACCACGTCAACATTTAATGGATGAATTGACAGACAACTTACGGAAGGTATGAAATTGTAATAAAATCGTAGATAAGGTATGACATTGACATTTTTTAAAGATAGAGTATGCAATTGTGACTGTCTCAATAATTAAAGTAATTTTATGTAATTTACCCTTATTATTTAGATCGGTACTGATCTTACGTAGTCGAAGTATTATCATAAAATCAGCTTACAATATAAAATGTGGACATAATACGTATCAGGAGACTTGTATAGCACGTAACACATTAATTGAACAGTCAAAATCTTTGTCAGCACGTGCT